TACCACGCTACCCCCTTCCAGGAGGGGATCATTTCCGCGCACCGCAGTAATGGCGGATACGTGTATCACCGAGTCTTCAACATTAAGGGATACGAGATACCCAGGCTGCAGCAGTCTTTCCAACAAGTCATCAACGCGAACCCCATCTATAGAACGAGCTTCCTCGAGAACGGCACAACCTTCCTGCAGACCGTGAACCGGCAATTCCAGCTCCCCTGGCAGATGCTATGCGACATCTCGATCGAAGACTATGTATCGCACAATACAGCCCAGGATATGGATCTCGGGCAGCCTTCGATCCGAGCCGCCATTGTCAACGGCGAGATCCTCATCGTCACCATGCACCACGCCCTGTTTGACTTCTGGTCCTCCAAATTCCTCTTCCAAGATGCAGCAGCTGTCTACCACAATCAGCCCTTAGTGGTCAGACCCCCCTTCAACATTTTCGTCCGTCATTTCCAGAGATTGGATCAGAACGTTGCCGCAGACTTCTGGTCCGGGTACCTTCAGAACGCTGCTGCAACGCTGCTCACAACGGAAGCTGCGCCGTTCAACGCTCTCAAGCGAACCATCGAGTATGACCTTCGCACATTTACTGCCTCTCTGGGTGTCACGACCGGTGCGCTTATGTACGCCGCTTGGTCCATTATTCTCTGGAAGCACACGGGAAGCGCCGACATTACCTTTGCCATCACACTTTCGGGGCGCGATGCTCCGATCCCGGGGATCCAGGATCTAAATGGACCGACCATGACCACTGTCCCTCTTCGGGTTCGGCTGGAGCCCACTATGGGCCTTGGAGATGTTGTGACGTTGGTGCAGGACGAGTTGTGGAAAGTAGCTAAATTCTCGCAGGTTGGACTCAGACGAACGCTGACAGCAGCGGGCCAAAGTTCGAGGCTCTTTGATTCCATGGTTAACTTCCTTGTGAAGACCGATGCAAGCCCCGGCGCCACGGAGTTGGAGCCATACGGCGAACGACCCATCTGGGATACTGGGTTTAACAGCCTTGAGGTAGAGGAGAAGGCCGATGGGGAGTTTGAACTGCGGCTGTCCGGGTATCTTGAGCCCATTCGCACGGGCTTTATCATTGAGGAAGTGGTGCAGTTGCTGCGGACGATGGTGGACAACAGCCAAACCCGGTTGGGGGAGGTGGATTTGATTGCACCCTCTGAGGCGCTATATCTTCAGCAGATGTCGGTGCCGGCCACCACGGACGCGAGGTTCCTGCACGATGGCTTTGAGGCTATTGCAGCGACAGATGGCGATCGCGTCGCAATTGAGTTTGAAAAGACCGAGGTAGTCAGTTATCGTGCATTGAACAGCCATGCCAACCAGCTGGCACGATACTTGGTCCAGAAAGGAGTAGGCCCAGACACTTTGGTCCCTCTCTGCCTTCCCAAGTCCGTTGAGATGATTGTGTCGATCCTGGCCATCCTCAAGGCCGGGGGTGGGTTTGTCCCACTGGATCCGGATAACCCCCCCGAGCGAAACAACTTTATCGTCAGCGACGTGTCCGCCACGATGGTTCTTACGGACGAGAACTTGCGCGGAATCTTCGACGAGGCCGATCGCGCGGTGGAGGTGGTGGACGTGTACAATGTCGACCTCTCTGAGTACTCCGACCGCAACCTGGAGCTTCCAGACCTGGAACCCCATCACCTGGCATACGCAATCTACACCTCCGGCTCTACAGGATTGCCGAAGGGGGTGCTGGTTCCGCATCGCTCCATAGCGGCGGGGATTGAAAGTATTTCTCTCGCCGAGAGCTGGGATCGGGAATGGCGTGTGCTGCAATTCTCCAACTACGTCTTCGACGTCTCGGTGGGGGATATCTTCTGCACCCTTGGTGCGGGCGCAACCCTCTGCATGGCTCCCATGGAGTCCCTCCTCTCCGATCTGGCTCTGGTCATCAACTCAATGCAGGTGAACCGGCTCTTCCTGACTCCCACCGTGGCTAAGCTCCTCCAGCCTGCCGATGTACCGGGCGTGCACGGGATATATCTGGCCGGAGAACCGGTGACTCCCGATCTTGTCGACACCTGGGCGCCACACTGCGTCGTCATGAATTGTTACGGACCCACGGAGGCCTCGATTCTGGCGAACGCAGGCTATATCCCGCCTGGCGGCAACGCCAAGGTCATCGGCCATCCGCTTCGGAATTGTGTCTCCATGATTCTCGAGCACGATAGCCTGAGGCTGGCGCCCTACGGCGCCGTCGGCGAGCTTTGTCTCAGTGGGACGCAGCTCGCGCGCGGATACCTCAACCGGCCGGAGGCGACGGAGAAGGCATTCGTCCTCCGGGGCTCTGAGCGAGTCTACCGAACCGGTGATCTCGCCCGGTGGCTCCCTGACAACCGCATTGAATGCTTTGGGCGGAAAGACAACCAGGTCAAAATCCACGGACACCGCATCGAGCTGGGTGAGATTGAGGGGGCGATCTTAAAGACCAACAAGGTCCAGCATGCGATTGCCAGCGTCGTCGAGATCCAGAAGAGGCCGCAGCTGGTTGCCTTTTGTGTGGTCGACCCCGGAAACCCTAATGGAATTCTGCCAGCCGAGGACACCTTCGAGACACTCACGACGGTCAGCATCAGTCTGACCTCGTTGCCTCCGTACATGGTTCCGACCATCTGGATTCCAGTCGGCACCTTGCCCCTTCTTCCCTCGGGGAAGGCAAATCGGAAGAAGCTTGTGGAATGGGTGAATGCCATGGATAGCAACGAATTGCTGCAGTATAGCAATATCGACGCCGAGGCCGAGTTCGTGGACCCGGTCACGCCAGAGGAGATGGCGCTACAGAGCCTATGGGCTTTTCTGTTCCACAAGGAGACCAGTGAGATCAGCGCCACGAGTACCTTCTTCGCCCATGGTGGTGACTCTATCACGGCCATCAATCTCGTCGGCAAGTGCAAGGAGGCGGGCCATGTGCTTACCGTCAGTGACGTGCTTGCATTCCCTCTCTTACAGGAGATGGCGACTCGCATGAGGCCCGTGAACAAGGCCGTGCTAAAGGTAGACGATGTGTCTGTCCCCGTCTCTGATGAGGTGTACGCGATGCTCTCCACCGCTGGAGTCCAACCGTCCGATGTCGAAGTCGTCTACCCGGCTCCCCCGGGAGTGGAGGACTTCCTCGTTCGTGGCGCCCAAGCCGAGCAATTCTGGCAATGCCAGACCGTCCGACCACTCCCCGAGGTGATCGACTTCAACCACTGGATCGAAGTCACCACCAAGCTGACAGCAAGAAACGAAATCCTGCGATCCATGTGGCTGGAGGCAGACGGGCGCTGGCTGCAGGTCGTCCTCGCCAACCCCGTCCTTGACCTGAAGATCATTCACTGCGCCTCAGAAGCCGACAAGCAGCAGCATATCAATGCCGCCTGGGACGCCGAATTTACCCTCGGCACACCCTTCATCCGGTACCGTCTCCTGATCCTCCCAGACGGCACCCGCGACCTTCTCCTCAAAATCCACCACGCCATGTATGATGGCACCCTCCTCCGGATCTTTGATGACGAATTCAAAGCCCTCGCCAAAAACCAGCCTCCTCCGGACACTGTCCCCTTCCGCGACTACGTCTCCTATATTCAGGCCACGGACAAGTCGAAAAACCTCGAATTCTGGACATCCCTGCTAGCCAATGCTCCCGCCCCATTCCCCAGTGCCACCCACTCCATCGCCTCAGCCCTGACGCTCAAAACAACCGACCGTCGTGTCGACTCCTTTGCCGCCTCCGTGGGCGTGACCGTCCCAATCGTCTTCCAAACCGCCTTCGCGCTGCTCCTCGCCCGCCTCTCTGGTCAACAGGATGTCACGTATGACAACCTAATCACTGGCCGCAATGTCGACATCTCCGAGGCCCAAACGATCGCCGGGACGTGCGCCAACTTCCTCCCCTTCCGGAGTACATTCTCCTCCGACACCCTCATCCGCGATCTGCTTAAATCCACCCAGACCCTATTCTGGAAGACAACCGAGAACGGCAACGTCAGCCTGACTGATATCTACAACGCCTGGGCAGGGAGCGAGACGAGGCGGCGTCTCAAGCAATGTTTCTGTTCCAGCCTTTTGACGCGCCGCCACCTACCACTAATATGGTCGACAAGCATATGCGGTGGATGGTGATGGCGCTGAGTAAGGTTCGGATGCCAATTGACTATGCGGTGTATTTGGAGGTGTCGAAGACAGCTACAGGTTATAGTCTGAAATGGAAGTATGATCAGCGGGTGTTTGGGGAAGAGCAGTTCGATGGGGTGACAGCGGCGTATTTGGATATTCTGGAGCAGATGATGGAGTATTCCAGGAGTAAAGTTGTTTCTATTGTTTGATAGTCTTTCTTCTCTTGCGCTTATTTTTGTCCATCGTTATATACTCAAAGAATCCGTCATGTTTAAGAATTCTTGCACTGGTGTTTCGTTCCACCATCAAACTGCGCGTCACAAGTTGTAGACACAATCTTACGAAAATACTATAATCCGCCCGGCTTGGCGGTGTGGAGTAATATTGATTCAATCCCTGAATCCTTTGGATAGGAGAACACGTGACTGAGAATATAGAGAACCACTTAGTAGGGTCAGTTGATTGAGATACTGCGATTCCTGGAGTTTCCACTTGAGTGGCATAATCTAATCGCCGTAACCTAGCCATAGGCCTTCTGTAGTTTTAGACTTGTAGAGAGATATTCGTACAGGCAGGAATTAGTACAAGATACTCTGTTCAGTCTAATGCTGCTGTTAGTGGAGGGTTGCTTGGAGAGGTCGTGTTACGATATCTCAGCCTTGTCTGTCACGAAACATTGCAGTATCATCTTCAAAATGTCCCGTAAAACAAACGACTCAATGTCGAGAAAATTGATAATGTCCATTATACTTTTATGATTTATCCAGTGCTATATAAATGATGCTTCTGCAATAGCTAGTGTGCATGGGGGCATATGCACCTAATCTCCGCGAATCATCTCATGCCACAAATGTAATGAATGAAGTCGTCTTGTCCAAATCTCAGGCGCGATAATCATCGTCCACCTCGGCAGGCTCTCCATTGGCCACCCTGTGGTAGCCATCGCGCCCAATGAGGCCGTAGTGAGTCTCAGTCTTATGAAGGGCAACTTGCACTCCTACCTTCGTCTCAACCTATTTCCAAGGATAAGCAGGGTGACTCATTATCACTTCACCGAGGAACACTTACCTTGCCCTGACTATTCACCACGACGTAACGCGGTGTTGGAATCTCGTCTTTGTTCTGCTTTTTGTAGTAGTGGACTGCTAATCTGGCTGGAAGCTGGGCCACAGACAAAACACCCTCTTGCTCTTGCTGAGCACACTTGTCACAGTTACTGTCCTCAAGGCTGCCGCTGAAGTTGAAGACACTGCCCACAAAATTCCGTGACCTGGCGTCGTAGAAGTCCTTGCCATCCATGTCACCGAAGAAGATGTTGATCTGGAACGGCTTGCCCCCCAATGCATACCTGAGCCCCGGTCAGCGACAAGTCTCGATTGCCTTGGGTAGTCGTCCTAGAGGTACACGTACCGATTGTACCGGATGCTTAGAATATAGTCTTCATTGCCAAACTCCTTGTACACCTCGCTTGTTCGTTGCCCGTACAGTTCGAAAACCTCCTTCGCGACTCTGCTTGGATCTTTAGTGATAGCGTAATCATAGTTTAAGTGTCGCCAGTCCTTCACATCGTCAGACCTGAAGAACACGACCTCTCTCTTCTTTTCACAAAACCTGTGGAAGGGACGTAGGTCGTCATCTTTCGATACTTTGCTCTTATCGTCATCGAACCAGCTGTCAGGGTTTAAGGACTGCCAGATCGCAGTGAGCCTATCGATATTGCTGCACCCCTCCGCGTTATTATCCCTGTTCCACTGCGAAGAAAATATGGGAGCGCTTACCAATGGTGCAGCCAGAAAATTGGATCGAACGCAGCCACTGGAACACTGCTCATATGGCCAGCACCCCAGAGCTTCAAGTCGTGTCGTCCTGGACGGCTGAACATGAATCCCCCAACCCAGTTCTGCGGAACATTAGCTATATAACTCTCGCGGGTCGGGATGCTGCGTACGTACATGGACGTTGTTGTGAATAGCTTCCAGGTTCATCCAGTTCTGAAAGGGTTCTTGGTCTCCCTTAGGGCTGTCATCGTACCGGGTGCTGGAGAATTGCCCCCAGTTATGACCTATACTTCTCAGCAGACGGAAGGTCATCTCCTGTAAGGTCGGTACCGAGTCCCAGCCATCCAGGTTCTGGTACCAGGGATGCTCGTTCAATGCCAGGTTAGCGCGCAGCCAGTTCTGGCCACCGTCCGCCCACACGTCGGCGTTGTAGTTTTCCAGAAGACCATACTTGGTGGTGGACTGGCATTTGTCGAACTGAAACCACCATGAGAATTAGGACTACGCAATAAGGAAAAGTGAAACACACCGGAAGAGTGAAAGACCTGCCGTGTTCGTCGGTTGATTGGCTCGTGATCGCGTATGGATGTTCCAAGGTGCCCATGAGGGTTTGCATCTGAAACCTGTAAAGGGGATTGGGCTTGATTAGCTGCTTGTCTGGATCCTCTGGCACGGCGACTTTGACCATGGGCATCGTGACCAGAATGGGCAATCGAAGTTCATCGCCTTGGGTATTTTCATGTCCATGCCGGGCGAACCGGGCAAAGTCCCAGTAAGGGAGACGCCATTGCTTGGCTTCATTCTCCCAGTCAGCTTTCCCGTTATGTGGCACATTTTGCTTGATGAAGTCAAGCATGGCTTCATAAATCACTTGCTACATGTCTATTAGTATACGAATACCGATAAGTCTAGAAGCACATGAGATCCGATGAGAGACAAGCGCACCTCGTACAAGGCCACATATACCCGATGCCATGTGGGAAAGGTGTAATTGTTATGCACGCAGAATCCCGTCGGATTTCCTTTGGAGTCCTTTTGACCACCAGGCACCCCGTCCCACTCTGTCCAGGGAGCTCCGTGGATACCAGCCAGACGGAAGTATGACAGCTGGTCCTGCAAGGGGCGGTTTTGTACCACGGTCAAGGCTTCCACGAATAGAGTGAGCTGGATGCGGTTACTTCCCGGCCTGGTCTGCTCGAGATACCAGTCATCAATATCTTTGCGGATAGGAAGAGGGTGCTTAGGATCCTTTGGGATACCGGTGATGAGGTAAGGCATTTTGGCCGGCGCGGATGGTGCTTAGATGGAGTGCAGCTGAATCTGACGTTGGAGTGTATATGGCAGGTCTTCTACACACCCCTGAAGCCTTATGGATCTGTGACCCATTATATGTAGAAGTATCGGCTCGATGAAGGGAGAAGGCAACCAAAGGTCCGCATCACCAGCGTTGCTGGGACGGGGCAATTCCATCCTGGGATGAACCGGCTGCAGCATAGATTCAACTACTGCAATGACAACACTGTTTCTACTTCTTGTATCCATCAGAGTGGTGTATCGCGCAGTGCCTTCATTGGGCGTCGAGGTTCGGCGCCGAGCCTGGTGTTGTTAACCACTTCTCATGCCTGAAGAAAAGGACTGGATAATGATGTGATCAGCTGAATTATCGTTGTTACCCCGCCTGTAGACATGGCATTCATGCTTTGACTAAGGATAGTTCACCTTACGAGGCAGCTGCCTGTAGTATGTCAATATTGATCGTCCACTGTAGTGGTGTATTACGCGTTGCCATCATTGGTGCAGATGCGGCTCCCAGTACCCACCCCGGAGGTCTTCAGCCCAGCCACTATCTCCGAGTCATCACCCCTCCGGTACAGGTGGCACGCATCGATTTTCCGGAGGATATGTATGCTCGTGGCTCAGATTCCAATGTTCTACAGGCCACCGATCTGTATATAATCTAGTGGATTGCCCAAATGCAAAAAAAACCCCGCATTGGGTTGCGAGCCGGAACCCGAGGAACTAGAGGGACGATAAATGATCTGATTAACTAGGCGACGAATGTCATATGCCCCCTGAACTCCGGAGTAAGTAATCTTTTTGGGGACCATGTCTTTTTGGCCAGGTAGTTAATTGTCATAGGATGCCTCGCCATATTCCAAACCTCCAACAGCTGCGACTATTCTGCATGGTTTTTACCCGTTCTGGCTGCATTAGTCTGCTGTCTGAGTTGTCCCTGCACTGGCTCCCTCATTTCCTTTAATGATGGAGACGGAGTACATATATGTCAAACAATTAAATTATCAATTGCCCAGGTGCCCGGGTACCTCTTTGTTAAGAATTGTGGGAAATCTGTTCAACCTGAGTATTGAGAATATTACATGCATTGGAAGCAGGAGTCACGAGTTGGGGGCATGCAATTGATTACGCATGATAAAGCAGCTTCCTTCAAGCTTTGGCGGTAGTATAGCGAATATCGAGGTCGTACTGATGTACTGTAGCATATTACTAGCGAGATATGCTTGGGCATCGAATGCAGAGCACCCACGTTGCAATCAGTCCTAGAAAAGTGACGTGTCATCTCATACATACGGGATGGCTGCAATGGCTATTATGAGATTTCAGGGCCCGAGAATGAAAACCAAACTAGTCACTTGTGTGGGATTCCGATTTATGACAAAATGCGAGGGCGCCAGTGAATGACGCAGTGTATACACTATCTCAGATGGATGCCCAAATTCCGGGCACCGGAATGACATTCGACTGGAAGGAACAGTGTCTCCATGTATTGCCAAGGGTGGGTACTAAATATCATCCCTTCAATGTAAAGAAGGCAGGAGGTGTGAAGCGCCGCTTAGTGTGTATACATTCAGGAATTAGGTGGCAGAATGCACTCACATCAGCCTTGAGCAATTCATGGACACCTGTATGGCTGATGGGAAGTTTGTGAGACCCTTCTAACATAAGAGGAGGCTTCTAATTGCCATTGTACGGTAAATGGGGAGACCTGCTGTTGGAAAGGCAGCGCAAAGAGCTACAACTGGGGAGATAGTTCAACCTTACAAATGCCCAATGCACTTTTCACAGCCTTGTAACGTAGCCTCACATTGGACCAAGTTCAGTGTTGGGGACGAAAAAAGGCTCATATCGGGTAGGGAGGAGATACATATATTAATGCACCCATGCAGTAACTCCCTGTCTATAGTTTATCGCTGCATGCGCCTCTAATAGGGATAGTGGTTTTCCAGTAGCACAACATGATGAGGTGGGACTGAGACAATATTGTATGCCTCGTGAAGGGATCCAATAACACCCTGTGTCAGATATTATCAGTTTAGTACTGTCAATGTGTTTCCTCGGAACTCTCAGTCCCCTCATCCGCCACCCACCATCACGCATACACACACTAGTACACTAAATATCCATGACATTGGGGGATGACAAAGCTGCAATCTGGTGGTTATCTGTGATTGAAGTATATTGTAAGCACCTGAAGGTCGTTGTCGGCAACCACGTGATTTCAGACATATAATAGGGACGACGCTTCTTGGAATTTCGAAAAAGCCAGTATCGAAAATCGGTCTCTCATCGCCCGCTATTTCCTTACAACATTTTTTAGCCGTCAAGGATCACATCAAAAGCCGTAAACAACCCCGCAGCTCTAACATCATGGCTGCCAGAGCCCCGCCCGACCACCCAAATGGTATCAATATCATCGACGATGTTGATCAGCTTTGTAATGAAACCCCTTGTGGGCAGTATGCTGTGCACCTGCTGAACGGCACTACTGATGGATTTGATGAATCTAAGACATGGTACACTTCAAGTGTGAGGCCATTCCCTCACAGTCAGGATAGAAAACGATGTACTCGGTTTTAACAAAATGCCAGGCTCTCCGCGAGGGCGTGGTCTCTCGTATTAGCGGTATCAGACTCATTACTCTGTCCAATGATCAGGGTGGGGTCAGTTCTCCTAACTTGGGTAATTGGAGCTGGTTCGAGCTCAAGGTCCAGAGAGAACAAAACTATTTTTCCTGGATGAGCCATCCGAACGCCTTTATTTCCAAAAGTCCCCGGTGGGTATGTTAGTCTAAAAACCAACTTTTTAGTGGATTCCTGAGCTGAAATAGTGTCATCTAGAGAGAGGGGAGGTACTTTGACCGATCCCATGATTTGATCAAGAAGCTGAAGGTAAGTATTATTTAACCATTGAACTCATCAGAGAAGAAGGCCAATCTTCTGAGCCTCTATCCGTGTCATCTAGGGTGGGTATAGCATTCATGTACTTTTCCGAAGGAACTTTGGGTGGTCCATCAACGCCGAACGGGGGTATTCGGTGTTCAATGTTGGTTGTGAGCCATGTAAGCATATCCTCCGACACCCTCCCCGCTAGGTAAATACACCGCGTTGCTTAACGAAAGCGAACAGTCCGCGCTCCTATCAATTTCGAGCCTTCTCCGTACAAGCGACAAGTCCTAGTAGAGGGGAGCAGTCTATTAAAAACACGTTTGCTGCTAGAGGATGACCGGAACTATTTGGATGTTGTGGATACACTCGAAACACAGGAGGGTATCAGAGTGACTGACAGTACTGAAACTGAACCAGCCAAGCTCAGGACTCTCGGAAAGTGCAAGCTCTTGATATACAGCTTGCTGCCCAATGTTGACTTCTCAAATCTTGTCAATGAAAACCTGGGCGTCCCGGGAACACAGACTTTGGTATTGGTTCAGCTTGAATCACTGCTAAACCCGGCAGAAATCAAATACCTTTCGTGGGATTGCATCATGGAGGATGTCTGGACCAAATTCTTGCAACCCCGCTTTGGTCAACGGCCTTTCCATCTCATTATTAGGCTTGGCTATGAAGGAGCTATTTACATGGGTCCCGACACGTCCAACAGTGTCAATGGACACAACTCACCCCTACTTGTGTTTGAGCCTGAAGCGGTAGTAGGAACTTCGTCGACTCGATAAGGAAGGGAAATGCCGATATTACACCGGATCTTGAAATGGCGTATACCGCAGGTATAGTTGCATCCCTGGCAAGGGAGACCAACGAATCCTTGGAGGTACTTTGCGGTACTCAAATTAAAGAAGCCATTATTTCCGGCCTCACATGGTCCCGCCGGTTCGCTGCACTTCGCTTTCCACAGAGAGGGGATGGAAAAGAGCCCACGCTCCAGGACATGAAATATGAGACGGCCTCTGATCCGATCTTGTTATCTCTTAATACCACAATTTCTGAAAGGGCCGCTAGTGGCGAACCGGCGAGGGTCTCACTGTTCGATTGCCTCCCGTACGGTAATGTCTATGATAAGACTCCCTCGACGAACCTCCTCCTTACCAGTGATGACATTGTGACCAATGGCCCAAGGAATGTGTTGCCTTATGTCCCCAATGCATCGTTTGGTGCTCTGAGGACTGCGGACCGAACCGAGATCGATGGTTTTCGTCGTATCGCCCACGAGATTAGGGGGTATGTGGAGAAGAAACAAACTGGGCCCCTCAATCTTGCAGTCTTTGGTCAACCCGGCTCGGGGAAGTCTTTCGGTATCAAACAGCTTATCCGGACGATTTTAAAAAGCCGTGAGCAAACCGGTGCTGAATTTGTGTTCAACCTCTCACAGTTAGAAAACAAAGAGCAGCTGCACTCAGTGTTCGACACGATCCGAGACCAATCGTTCACCAAGAATATACCAGTCGTATTTTTCGATGAATTCGACTCGATATTTAACGGCTTGGCTCTTGGATGGCTCAATGAATTTCCGGCGCCGTTTGGAACGTATCCACACAAACTGGGCCGGGGGATTCATGTTTACATAGGCGGTACAGCACCAACGTTTGAGAAGTTCAAAACCAACAAAAATACAACGGAATATCAGGAAAGTCAACCCAGGTCTCCGGTATCCAAAGGAAAACAAGAAATTCCTAAGCCCATGGAACTGGAACGATCAAGTCTTTCGGAGGATCTAAAGGAGGTTTTTCCTGCATCTCTGAATAATGTGGTTTATCTGAAAGTCTTGCTAAAAGAATTGTGTTCCTATGGCGAACTAGTCGAACAATTTCATTGTATTCGAAACCATGTCCTCGACGGAAAGACGCCTATTGTGCTATTCGAAGACTTTGACGCGAACCTAGGGGATGGCGTCCTGGGCTGGGTCAAGTACTTTCTATCGCCAATGCAAGACGCCGAGTTCTTTGTGGACGGCCACGCCCGGCATATCGGACGTGCAGTGTTCGTTTTCATTGAAGGAGACAGTGGTCGATTGGCAGGCTTCCCGGA